TCTAATATAACTTGTGACATCGACAATAATGTAATTATAGCTCTGATTATTAATATAGCTGAGCTCATGTTATGCCATTGACAAAGCTGAGCATTCGAAGGTTCTGGGGATTTTTGGCTTTCAAACGCTGGCAGACGATCGCCCAGAAATACAAAACATCAGAGGAGTAAGTTTAGTGGTAGAGCGGATTTCGTATGAGTGGGAAACGGACGGTACTGTACTGTGACCGTAATCGTACTGTAACCAAATTCTAGTGCCCCATTGCTTCACCAAAATTGTGAAGGCCAGGTCCGGTAAATGTGCGGTAACCGTGCGGTAACGGTGTCCCACTCATACGAAATCCGCTCTAGTTCATACTAGTTCTTTCAAATGACCTCGAATTTGACTTGATTATATTTTAGTAAAAAAGTTCTAAAGATAATGAACTCTTCTCTCAGTAACAACATGATCAAAAAGATGGATGTGCAGTACGTATTTCTCGTCTTTAAATTGCATTGCCATACGTTTTCTTTACAGAAATGAACACCAGAAAGTACACTTTCTTTGGGAAAAAACTAAAGCAGTTTTGATTTGAGAGATTATTTTTGCAAACCTAAAAACGTGCGAATCGTCTGGTTTTAATTACTCGGGGTTCCTGTGGAACGCCGAGTATTAATTTCGGCGTTATTTTTTTTTATTTTATTTTATTTTTTGCATTCATCGCCAAATCGCGGCCAGACTAGCCAGGCGTTCCTAGCCTGTCTTGTCTCGTGCTAATTGCATCAGCTTCTTCGTCGATGGGCTTATGGTATTTCTTCTTCTCAAAAAATACGCTCAAATCACTCACAAATCCACACACGGTATGTATAGCCACACTAAAGGATGTCGACCGTTTTCGGAATGGGCTTTTTGAAAAATACCGCGAATAAATCAAGCTTATTGTGACTTAAGTTATGATACGCAAGCCATTTTAATCTATCCAAAGCCGACCAAAGCCAGTCATAAACTACAGGCCTTCTATCTTAAAAAGCTACTGATATTCAAAGCTCTAACTACTATAAAAGAACAATAGACTCAAGTGCCGATTGTCAACAAAACTGTACAGGTGAAATAACGAAGGATTGCAAACAAAGGATCAGCGAATGCTATTTGCGTTAGACCAAATCCGGGACCAAATGTCTGTCAAAGTAAGGACAATTCTTGGTCAACAATAATAATATTAATACATTTTCTTTTTTTACTATTTTCAATCCAAGGAAGGATTTTTAGTTTTACTTTATATTTGATAATTAAAGTTTTTATTATTCTTTGCAATAATTGCGGTAAATTTATCAAGTCAAAATTATATAAGTCTTGATTATTATGCTATCAACTGGACTGAGAATTTATTATATTTTTTGGTCACGGCAAGAATAAATGAAACTACATATTCTATATTGTATCATTAAACCAAGAGACTACACTAAAAAGAACCCGCTGACAAGCGTCTTGTTTCATATAAATTGATAGTCGTCGTTTGCGAATACATTATAGGTTGCTCAGATTAGAGAAAAAGTTGAGAAAACTGTGGAAGAGAGTACAAGAAAGCTAAAAGATCTGCGTAATAACTACATCGTCAAAGTGCTGGCCATTACCGATTTCAGCCCGACGCACAACGCCATTGTAAGTACAGTTTTTTCCATTTCCCTTCTCTTGCTTTTTTCTTCCATTCAAATATAGTATACTACATTCACATACTTCCATAAGCAGATATCCTCGTGAGGGGACGAGGACATCATACAACAGCAAATCCAATTAGTTTTTTTTTTCTATTCAGTTATCGAGGTACTGTAAGAAATCACCGTCTGAATAGAGGTTTTCTTTTCAGTTTGGATTTGTTAGTCTCCGGACCTGTAGCAGCTATTATTTGGCCCGTTCCCTTCCCTTCACGTTTCTCTATAGAATTATAGAGTACCGAAACTCATCACCAAAATGCAGATGAATGATGTGTCACTTTGAATGTTGTTTTCTACCGATGTTATTCTGTGCTTGAAATTATTAGCATTCTACACAAATTATCTCGACAGCGGATGCCGACCACATGTTATGGAATTTGTCTGTTTCATGTACTTCCTCATAGGCGGACAAACTTGAACATCATACACTTTCTCATGGATTCAAGTGTAATAACCACTATTTTGGTTTGTCTCCCTGAAACAATTGGGAATTTAGGGTTTCCTATACATTGCAGGATGGATTTTAGAGTGAACTTTCTTTGGTAAAACAACAGCTAATGTTTTAAAAAATTGTTTCCATATGTGGCCTTGTATTTGTTGCAGTATTCAGAGAACACAGAAAGAGGGAATCTCTTACAGTTGGTGCTATCCAAACAATGCAACTCTATTGATCTTGTCAGATTCTTGGTGCAGATCCTCTATGGACTGGAGTTCTTGCATGACAGTAATATCTTGCATTGTGACATCAGAGCAGAAAATGTGATGGTATTCTACGATGAACGTCAAGGATTAAGTGTATGTATGCGTTATGTATTATGAGTTTTGTTGTCAGTCCATATTATTGCGAATTTCACCGTTAAAATCAATTCCGATCGCCAGGATTTTGCTCGATTCAGAATCCTATGCTTTCTTGACATTATGTAAATATCACTCCTGGTAAATATAAAAGCACGATTTGACAGCGCAGCTCAAAACCCTCGCTATCTACCCTAAGACCTTTTCAGCTTTCGGAAAGTTAATTTAGGGTGCACGTCACCTGAACTGTAAAAGCCAAGTGCCATCTTTGAAACTGATGTGCCATGCATGGCAGACAAACTACAACGGTATAGCTGAGTACATGTGGAAAATCTTATCAGTTACTAAAACGCTGCTATGTCCTAGCTCGGTTTCCGTTCCGAGATTCATATTTATATGATTTTCTCTCTCTTTCTCTCCCTCCCTCCCTTGTGCCTATAGCCTTTCTCTTTCCTGAAACGATGGTTTCCGTGCCTTGTCAAACTAATATATAAGCTTAAACTGTGGCCGTGAGGGATAATAATAAGTATTCAATGCTTAGGCTTTAAAAAAGTACAAACGATTGTCATGATAAAGACGTGTTCCTTGTATATTTTCAGGTCAAAATTGGCCGTCTTGGAAGATCAAAATATCTCCGAACATCACCCATTGAGTTTCAAATGCCAGAAGATGCAATTACCAGGTAACACTACAAATGTGGTTCATTACAGCAAAATTGTTCCCCTGATGTGGTCGATTTAATTCATTTGATACTAAATTAGTTGAAATCTTCTTTTTCTTTTTATAAGATTCGAGATCATGACTTCTTCCCAAATAATCGGCTCTAACTTTACGCTTTTGCTCAATTTTCAGGAGATCTCCAGAGACAATAAAGAACAAAACCTACTCCATCAGCAGCGATGTTTGGTCATTTTGTCTTTTATGCTATGAGTTGTATGRAGCTTATGACAATCGAGACCAACCTTGTCAACCTATCGATTGTGAGCCAATCAAGTGCGAAAAAGAGGTTTGTCCCTAACAAAAATTATCATCAATGCAATGGGAATCACATATCCCAAGTGCCAACTATCAGAATGCCTTTTCAACTCTTTTTTCTGTAATCATGTCAGTTTCGATTCCTTTGCTCTCCCCTAGAAATGCGCATGCCCTTTCCCAATAGTGAATAACAGATATTTGTACTTCGCTGAGACCATGCCAAACCTTTTACAAATTTGAAAAACGCGCGTACAGTCATGTACTGTTGAATTAATTTGTTGATAAGGAAAAACTTGACAAACTTTGCCGTCATTACTTTGCTCATAATTTCAATCAAAATAAAATGTTAACTCTTAATTATATTTGCAGAACATTCTCGCTTATCTTGAAAGCAACAACCGTCCAGAGAAACCACAAAGCATGCCGGACTGGTTATACATTGCAGTAAAGCAAGGCTTACTTTGCAAACCAGAGGAAAGGCCCCCTCCAATTCTCTTGCGCGACTGCTTGACATTTCGGTAAGAAAAAAACATTTTTTTTCAAAGTGGATAATATATCAATGAGCTATGGTAAACATTGTGAATTATTCTGCTCTTACCTTTGTCTTACAATCCAATTGAAAATGAATTTTTCAAAAGTATAGATATGAGGTTCACATTTACTCTTAACTTGATTGACTGTACGTAATATATCTAATCGGCTAACAATCTCGTGTTTTTTTATCTATTATACAGCAAACCGTTTGAGTCTTGTTTGCTATCTCGATGGAAAAAGTATCATCCAGATTTGATAGTCGAACATAACATCGATGTCGAAGTTGAACAGCCATCAATCCCTGAGTGCGAACACGTGATTCCGCCTAGCGAACACATCCCTTTCGATGAATTACAGCAGATGTCCTCAGTAGCTGTCTTCATRAAKCACTCTTACAAATACGCACCARGAAATGAACTAGCTGATGTTGATGATAATGAAGAATTATATGAAGACATAAGTTTACCTGCGTACGTCAATATTGGAAGGGACATCGGAGAGAGAAGAGTGCGCGACGTCACTTACGATGACGTCGTGAGGCAACAACTACCTTCCAGCCAGGCTACCCGGCCTCCTTCTACTCCACCTCCCAAGGAAGTAGGAAAACCACCTCCTCGACCACTGAAGTCAGACCATTGCCAAGGTAATTCTGCGCATAATTTATATATTCGCAAGGCGTCCACAATAAGTATTCTTGCAGATTTTCACTGAGGGACTTTAGTAACGAGTGAAAATATCTGGATGCGACGTTCGCAAGCTACATTTACATTATTATTTAATGTTAACCTCAATATTAAGAACTGAGGCAATGACAATGACACGAATTATCGACACTTTTGCTATTTCTTTAGCTATTGTCCGCACTAAAGCCAATGCACTTTCTTTATAGCCTTTCAAATTAGACGTCCAGCCCCATACCCACGCCGCTCACCATTGCAAACCCTGCCAAGTAATGAAAACCGACATCAGTCGATAAACGATGAGGTATTGTATGAAAATATCCCCTTTGCTTACGACATGGCAAGAGAAATGGCAGGCCAACACGATGACGCGGAAGAACGATCCTGGCCCTCATGAAAGAGCTCAACACCGTCCCCAAGGCCATCTCGGCCACCCACTTTTCAAGATGGCGGTGTTCGGGGAGATGACCCTGACATTGGCTGAATGAAAAACACTGGATAAAAACCATTTACGACTGAAATTCTTTATTGACCCTTCCGAAATTTCAAAAAGGGACTGAATGACATCAAGTCACAAGCTCGATGACGTTTCACGAAATCAATAGAGCTAAAATTACTATAGCTGCAGAGTTTCGAGTTTCGGGGGATTCAGATAAAAGAATTCTACTGTGGCAAGAATTTAAAATTCGAAAAAATACCAAAGAATGTATGGAGATATTGAGCACTGTCCCCAAATTTATAACATAAAAATTAGGTAAAATTTGTGTCCTGGTTTGAGAGGTTTTCTCCTTTTCTAGATGTTTTTTGTTAGTTGTAATCATCGTATTTTTGTAGTCTTATAAAGCTTTGCTTTTTTTGTTAAATTTATTAAAAAGCCTGAAAAATTCTGAAAAATACCGTCTGAATACCATTTAGAAAAGAAAAGAACTTCTGGAACCAGGGTAGAGAATTTGGTACTGTGGCATGGCAAGGTTCAGTTTTCAATAAGTGTTCCATTTTCATACTTGTTCCCAGGCCCCCTTTCAATTTTGAAAAGGCCTATAGACCTCATATATGCACATGCAATGCATTATACGATATGTTTGAGATAAAACATAGCAGGTTTCTTTTGTTTTCTCCAGAAACTGATCCCACAATGCATTACAAATCTAGTTGACGTAAAACTTTGTCAATCGTCCATCTAACCTGCTTTAGCATGAGTAGACCTTTCAATCAGTCAGTATACATATATATAATAATCTATCTTATTCTACAGCCTTTTGCACAAATTATGAGACATTTTTATATATATAAATATACCTAACCAAATATCAAAAACACCCAAGAAATTATGGGATACCGTCGCTGATATTTTGTCTGTAACAACCTGATGCTAGGCAATCATGACAAAATATAATAGAGATATACCATAATTTCTGGGGTGTTTTTGATATTTGGTTAGGTATATTTATATATATAAAAATGTCTCATAATTTGTGCAAAAGGCTGTATCTTATTTAGTATTTCTATAATCTTTTCAGAAAGTTCTGATCTACTTTTTTTAACTATCAATAAACATTATATAAACTAAGTATGCATGTATATATAAGTAGTTTTTTACCTACATATGTGTACATTAATATTTTTAAACAGTGGCAACTTTAATGCAGTATTTCGACGGAAAAAAAAGTTTTCGAAAAGCTTGTATGGAAATTACATAGAAAGTTGCTTGTTATGTTCAAGCGAAATAGTCTATGTCCCCCATGCTGGGATTCTAAATATTCATATTTTTTGTGATATGATCATGTAAATATATAATTTGTAGTACAATAATAAAAAGAATTATAACATATTCTTTTCACGTGCTTGTAAAATTGTTGAACAAATCAAATTATATATTACAGTAGAGCTTAGTTAGTAGAAGGAAATGGTTAGGAAGCCTTTTTTAGATTTTTGTGCAGCTTTTCTAAGTGTGAACGTGCACAATCTTTTATTTAACTATTATTTTAGCCACACTGGTCACATCTGAATCGCACAAAGTACAATGATCACCGGCTAATTGTTTTCATGTTGTCCAATGTTCTGACAACGCTTCGCCCGCCATCTTGTTAGTTGCTTAGATTCCCAGGAAATACCACAGGAAGTCCGGCGTAGATAATCTATCTTTTCACTTCTCTTTTAAATATGTTGTATGCATTTATCCATTCATTATACGCTTATCAATTCCTTTCCTAGATGATCATAGACTCCCCCGTTTAGCCTCCAAGATGTCGTCACGTACGTAGTGACGCAGAACCAAGAGTTTCACCTGATTAGTGAATCTCTTTACTATCATCTATTTGTTAGAATTTTCTTAAACGAATTAAAGGATGTATTTAGAAAACTACTCCGGCCTGTTAACTGATAAAGATGCAGTTGCTTTTGGTATTCGGTAAATGCATACTAGATTTTTTCCCTTGTTGTTAGTGGCGTTGGTTGCCACCAATTTTATTTGATAATTGATTTTCAAGGGAAATTAAATCACATAGATTTTGGACCGACTTATATAATATTTACATCAAATTTACAACCTTTAAAGTGCGCGATTTTTTCCAGTGTAAATATTAACTCCATTTATATTAGTTTTCATCTTTGAAAGATGAATCCAATAAGTGAAATTTTGTTTGTCAAAACAGTGTAATCATAGTTCCTTTCGGTCGGTCAATCTCACTTCGACAGTCGTCGTTCGCAGTTCTCCCCGACAACGGTTTTGAAATAGGTGTATACACTCGTTGAAATTGTAAAGAATCGGGACTTTTTGCAAAGAAAACTCCCTTAATTAAACAATCGCGGGGACTTTTGTTTCGTCACAATGGTTTAGCCTGCTCAGTTATGCAGAAACGTTAACAACAATGCGGTATTTCCCCCGCTCTATATGCTGCAGGAGCTTGCAAAGTTGTAGATCAATAGTTTCAATCAGTGTATTAGAAGAGCACTTACTTTATTCAACGTAAATTTTCGCACGATTTCAGATTCTTGATTTGAGTGACTTTCTGATTTTCAACCCGACCAAGCAATATGATCAGGCGGATCATTGAGATCGCATAAATATATTTCTGAAATTACTATCTATATACTAATCTTATTATTACAAACAAGGAAAGTAAACACAGTTAATTTTTTCAAAGATGTTCTGATAATTTGTTTGATTTGACTTTTTAGCAAAGAAAATATCATCGTTGAATATGGTATTGAGAATCCTCCCCCTGCCCCATCCCCCACAGTAACTTTTGGTATTGCATCATCTGCCTTTTTTGGTAGTGTAGATAATCTTGATATTATTCCTTGATAAAACTTTTAAAGCAATAACAATGTAATGCTAATTAACTTATAAAAATGTCTGTATCTCTTTCAAAACGAGCTGATTCACTCT